GAGGCTCAAATCCTGGGATCTGGTGTCCACGGGCCCGCGGGGACGGGGCAGTGAGGTTGGGGGGCTTTGGAGGGGGGCCGCTGAAGATCACAAATATTTTCTCATGTGCTGTTTTACACTCACACGCCTTCATTCTGAGCACCGCACCTCCAGTCGCTCCCTCACAGCAGCAATGGCGGCAGTGAACACGCACACGTGTGTTTAAAGAGTCAGAAGACACTCGGAAATTACAGTCAAGTTACTGTCAATTCAATCCAGTCGTCATCTAGAAAAGAAATCCAGACCAAATGGAGCTGATGAATTACTAATAATAACAATGATACATTATTATTTGTAGAGCATCTTTTATACAAGAAACACAGCACTTTATAATAAAGGAGAGGACGTCATTTTTAGATGATAACTCGTAAACTTTAACGCAAAATATGTGTGTATTTATTAAGAGTATTTATGAAGTAAACGGCATCTGCCACTATGTCTAAACTGCTTGCAGAGTGTGCACATAATTATAATGTTTAGTAGTTATATATCAATGACGTGCTTGATATGAACAAACTGTCTGGTAAAATCTGTCTAATTGGATATTTTATGAGTAAATAGTGTTGGTTTTTCTATATAAAGCATTCACCTAAAATCCCCACGGATACGTATCCGCCTTGGCGAGATCACAAATGTGAGGAAGTCCCCTGAAGATGGAAGTTGACATGTATCACAAAATCTGCTCCAAATCTGCTCAATTTGCCTAAACCGGGTCAAATGCACAAGAGCAATCCAGACCAGAATTGTGTGTGCGGCGTTGTGTAGAAATGTCAGTTGTGAGTCCTACATTGGAGGGGGGAGTATCAGTGTGAACACAGCCTCGCTGATGAAAGGGGGGGGGCTGGTACGGAGGCTCTGAGCTCTGGGGAATTGGAGAATATTCATCTCCCCTAAGCAGGGAGAGTTAAAGGGGGGGGCTGGCTTTATCTAACACCCCCCCCTCCAGTCCTCTGCTCTGCTCTTTTGTTGGGGGGGGGGGGTGGCATTCACGCGCACACACACAAACACACACAAACATGTAAAGCTCTCCAGCAGCGAGGCCTCCACCATCTGTCTTGGGTCTGGAAAGATGGCCGTCGTTGCTGAGAAGCGCAGGGAGCTCGCGGGAGGAAACGTCTCCGTCCCCGTCGCTCCCTCTGCTGCCTTCGCAGCGCCGACGTCCGGCCGTTCCCACGGCCCTCGGCCGGCTCGGATGTGACATTTCAGGCAGTGACTTTCAGCGTGCGGGAAGCCCTCCGCTTTGGCGATCACTACACAAAAGCTCTTCCAGGGATCGACCATTCAGAGAAGGTTCTGGAAAAGGAGTTACGGAGATGCATGTGTGCCTCAATAACCTGCTCGGGCCGAGGAGATGAGCTCGCCTACGCTCTGAGAGTTTTCTATCATTTACATTTTGAAGCCAGCGACACCGAATCAACAAACGAATGTGCTCATTTTTTTTACTCTTTAAGGTATTACTCACAAAACAACACGTAACAATTGGCAGCATTTTCATGCCGGCATAATCGCACATTTAAACGGAGTGCAGTTCCATTTAAACATAATAGGTGGCTCCTGTTATTTGAAAAAATGTTAAATGTTATATTATGTAATTCTAAAACCAAATTAGGTCACCTAACAATCGCACAAATGTGAATATATATCCGAATAGAAAAAAATATGAGGTCCTGGACGGGGTGATGTCTCCATTTTTAATCAGAACAACATGCTGCTACGGAGGTTACAGGACGGCCAATCATATGCCTCCTCACTGCAACCATCCCAACCACCAGCGCGTCTGCGTGGGATCGAAGCAGACGCGCTGGCTACAAGTTAACAAAGATAACTGAAGCAGCCGCCTCCTTTCGCCCCTTTCAGTCCGCGTGCTTTATGTCTGCGGGTCTGTATTGTTCCCCCATCGAGGCGTGTTTCAGAGGAGGGGGACCCCTCCAGCCGTCCTCGCCGCATCGGCCCCTTGCATTGCTCCCTTATCCGTATTCATCGCCGCCCCGCTCTCCTCCTATCAGCACGCGGCTCGGCAGCCACCGACGGCCCGCTAAGCCAATCGCACGCCAGCCTTTGAGGGAATATTCCCACCCCTCGCCGCCTTCACCCCACCCTGTACAATGGCTTCTTTTTTTCCTTTTCTTTTTTCACTTTGACGCAGTGGTTTGAAAAAAAAAAAGGAAAATAAGAGGAAGAGGAGAAGAGGGTGGAGAGAAGGAGGCGAAGGAGAGCTTTGCAGACACCGGTGGCAGAGCCCCCCCCCCCCCCCCCCCTCGGCAAAAGGGGGGAGGAAAAAATCGATGGACGGCGGTTGCCGAGCGAGCGCCGTCAATGGCACCCGTCGATTGATGAAAAGGGGTGGGGGTTGGAGCATAGGGGGGGTGAGGAGGACGAGGGGGAGGAGGTTGCAGTCGTGATGGTCTGAAGTAGAGCGTGATTAGTATGGATGAGGAGGAAGAAGAGGATGGAGGGGAATGGAGGAAAGAGGGAGGGAGCAAACAGGCGTGTCCGCGGAGGATTGCGTGGACAGCGCGAGTGTGAGCAGCATCGCTCGCTTCGCGTTCTACCACAAACACCGCTTTTCGCCCGACCCTCAGCGTGCAGGGGGGAGGCGCTCGTGGAGACATCTTCGGTTGGCGTTTCGTTGCCCCTGAGGACCGGCGCCTACACCCAAATATGAGGCTCCTCCCTTCGCTCTCATCTCCCCGCAACTGATGCATGCGAGGAGGAGGCAGCTCTTCATTCATGTGGACGTCCCCCGGAGGAAAAGAAAATAGTATTGGATGCTCCAGCTCAGCTGCAGGAGCGAGAGGAGACGCTGGGATCAATGGCCACGCTGGGACGGCAGAGAAAGCGTAGAAGTGCGCGCCCCCTCCGTGTCTCTCGCTAAACTGCGTCTCTGCTTTTCACATCCAAAGTCAGACCATGAACCACAAGGACAAGACACACACGTACACACACACATACACACACACACACACACACACACACACACAAAGAAATTGTCCTGCCAGTCTGCTAATTTCACTTGGCAAGGGCATTTCAAGGCCCCCCTCCTCCTCCTCCTCCTCCTCCTCCTCCTCCTCCTCCTCCACCCTATCGCTGCCTCGCTAGTCCATCCATTTGCTAAATGAATGTCTTACATCTAAGAGACAGGAGAGGACAGAAGGTATCGCAAAGTGAGGAAAGGAACGAGTGGTCCGCTCTTCCAGGTCAGCAAACTTTTCCCCTGACTGTGAAACCGTGGGGGAGGCACCGCGCTCGCATGTTCATTTTTCTGACCACCTACAAAAAAAATTGAGCAAAAAAGAAAAGAAAAAGAAACACCATCCAATTGATTTTGTTTGCGCTTACAGAGGCCGCTGTTTTATTGAGGTATATACTATAAATAATATCCAATTAACACATGCCAGTTTGGAGCGACCGTGTAAAGTTTTAGTCTTGTTATGTTTTCAACCGAGAAGAGACAGTAATTTGAGATGAAAATAGAAATGTTCAAATATAAATATGTGACATCCGTATATATTGCTACGCTTGCCCTCTGACTTAAGTCCTGGCTCCGGGCCCCTACACTTCCTTAGAAGCAAAGACATATACTTTGACTCTATATATCTTTTCTGCAAGTAAAGGTTGGGTAAAAATATATGCTTGACCTTCAAAGTATTTGTGCGTCATAAACGCTGCAAATCAATTTTTACTGCTGTCAGTGCCAAAGCTACTAGGATCTTATACAGTGCGTGCACACAAAGTGATTTAGTGACGTATTTAAAGAGAATTACAGTTCCACCCCGTATGGCTCACTTGACTCTGCAAGCATTTAACTGATAACCAAATATTCCTATTAAATTGCAGAAGAAGAATGTATTAATTGTGAGTGTTCTCTCCATAAATTTCAAAAGCCTTTAAAACGCTAAACCATGATTGGCCGACCACTGAAAAGAATCCTTCAATTATGAAACAACAATGAGATTTTTGTAGTTATCTTAGCCAATCACAATCCAGTTTTCCTTTGAAAACAACCCACATGTTAAACCCCTGAAATCAAATATTAACACCATGCTCATTGAGCGTCTCTGATCATACATGTGCACGATTAAAGGGGCACCAAAATTTCCCTAGTGTGGCGAGGAACCCTGCCGGGTGGCGGCGAGGGGGGGGCAGAGATGTGAATGGGGCTGGTGTCGGTGGGGGCCGGGCAGCCACCGCTACTGCGACTCATTCATCGCTTCATCCCTAAGACCTTCAACTGTTGATATTCCCGACATCCTGGGGCTCCACCGTCTTCACAGCTCAACAGCTCGCCCTCTTCATCGCCCTCTTCATCGCCCCCCCCACGCGCGTTTGGAAAAAACCCGGGGGAAAAAAAAACGGGCTTCCTTTCCCGTCTTCAGAGGATTAAAAGTCTACATCTTGCTTCTCAATTAATAAAAATATGATATTTGTCTGCTCTTATTAGGGGAAATATTACTGGTTTAAAAGGCTCTACACATTTAATACATAGCTCTGAAATATTAAAATAGGGTTAAAACCACAACAGCGTCAATCAACAAGCCATCACACGTCACACGCTGAGCACACGCTCCGAACCCGAACAGCACAGCAGCCACGCCGCATTGCAAAGAACCCGAATGTTTTGATGATATGGCTAGCATGAGGTCAAAGGTCACCAGAGCTCATCTGTGAGTGTGAGTGCGGTAATGTCGGGCACCATGACAAAAAAAACAAGAAACACTGAGTGTGTGTAAAAAAGCATGAGAATGGATGTCATGGAACTGAGAGCACACAATATATAAACAGCATCGGCATGCATTATCCCTCACGGGGGGTTACTTCAGAGGTCGGGGTTCCCTGATATTTATAATGTATCGTGTTGTCGCTGTTGAATCAGTCCTGCATTGAAGAAGGTTACAGTAAAGATAAAAAAAAGAAAAAAAGTTAGAAAACAGGTAGAAGATCAGAAGCAAAGTCTCTCTTACCATGAGTCTCAGTTTCTTGTTGAGGGAATACAATGCCTTCAGTTTCAAATAGGGGCTGCAGGAAGGCCACTACAGAGAGAGGAAGCACAGGGGTGGGGTTGTGTGGCGTGAGCTAATTATACAGAGAAACAACCATCGTCATGATCTCTCATCAGCACTTTGACTTTGTGAACTTTATAAACTGCGGCCTAAGCGCGGCCGTGAAAATGTTTTACACTAAAACACCTTATTATCATTAGAATGAAAGGAATTTGTTTATTTATATAATACGAACAAAATACTTAATCAACAAAAAAAAAAAATCTGAATTAACGGTCAGTGCAAAGATTTACACAAAAGACCTTCAGCCAAGCCCTTATTGCTATTTGCTGATTATCTGATGGGGCGAAGGACTCTCAGCCAAGTGTCATCAGGCTGATGCTGCTGGCTGAGGGAGGCCGCCCCTCTCTGCCTGAGTGAAAGCCCGGTCGGCCGGGCTCTTTATTATCCCCGTCCTCTTCATGGCCGTCCCAACCTTTTCATTTGTCTAAATGGAAGAGCCCGTCGGACGGTTATGCAGGCAGGAGGATGGTCCCCCTGAGTGCCCAACGTGCAGCGAGGAAGAGTCTTTAGTGCTCCGAGTGCATCGACTTGCAGTGAAACAACGCATGGCTAACCCTCCACCCCTCACACTCTCTCCATCTCATTTTCAAACCCGCTGGTACGGTGCTCCCTCTTTTCTGTCATTGCTATAAGACAAAAAGGGCCCAAAATCTACTAGAAGATGGAAACATATTGATCCTCAGGACTCTCTCCGGGTCACACAAAGGACTATTTTCTTATTTTGAACTAGCAAATTCTTGCATTTGACAGCGATACATATATTATGAATATGATTTTCAGCTGGGCTCTTGACGGTATTTTGGAGAGTTTTCTGCCCTGAGAGAATCAAATATATAGGGCAAAAGTAGGTTTTTGTAATTATTTACATAAAAATAGTCTAGTTTCTAAACCTCACATACTTTGTTGAATGTGGATAGACCATTCGAAGCATTAAAGTCACCAAAACAAAATTCTATTGGGTCCATTCGTCCCTGTTAAATTATTGTTGGACTCATAAATAAATATACTTTTTTTAAATTTTGCCTAAAATCTACTAATAACTAAAAACACGTATATCGTTGTCTTGCAAGTCGACTCCCGCTCTTGAGCACGTGCCCCTCCGGGTGTCCTGTAAAATAACACGTTAGAGCTGCAGTGTGTGTCCGCGTGTGTCCGTGATGGAGCATGATGGTTGGGTATGCTGGGTTGATGGGGAATGCTTGGCGCATGACAGCATGTAAACAAAAAACACAAATCGGGTGATTACCATGGTGACATGTCCGTTCATATCTCATCCAAGCAAACAACACGTGGACGATTTAGAGAGAACCGACACTCTAGGATCTCTCTCTCCTTCCAGCTGCGGACTATTCAAATTCAGGGAAAGCAAAACATGATACGAATTATAATTGTCATTAGATAGAGAAAGCTACAATAACATAAAGAAAATGACGCCTACTTGAGCCACTCATC